ATCGTTTGTCTTGGTGGCTCCAGCCTTTCCGGTTCCTTTAGCGTTTTGCCTTTTAGTGTTTAGTGGTAGTTTCTTCACCACTAAAAGTTAAATTTTAGCGGGGGATCTGAGGGGCCCAGTGGCTAACAAACAGTTCTAACTTTTTTGGCCAATCACCTGTCTTGGTGGCTCCAGCCATCCGGTTCCTTAGCGTTTTAGCCTTTTAGTGTTTAGTGGTAGTTTCCATTTCACCCACTAAAAGTTAAACTTTTAGCGGGGGATCTGAGGGCAGCCCAGTGGCTAACAAACAGTTCTAACTTTTTTGGCCAATCGTTTGTCTTGGTGGCTCCCAGCCATCCGGTTCCTTAGCGTTTTAGCCTTTTAGTGTTTAGTGGTAGTTTCCATTTCACCCACTAAAAGTTAAACTTTTAGCGGGGGATCTGAGGGCAGCCCAGTGGCTAACAAACAGTTCTAACTTTTTTGGCCAATCGTTTGTCTTGGTGGCTCCCAGCCATCCGGTTCCTTAGCGTTTTAGCCTTTTAGTGTTTAGTGGTAGTTTCCATTTCACCCACTAAAAGTTAAACTTTTAGCGGGGGATCTGAGGGCAGCCCAGTGGCTAACAAACAGTTCTAACTTTGTTGGCCAATCCACCCAGGAAGTGAGATCAGTGCTGAGATACGGCATGGGAAGCACGCGGAGTACTCCCATGATGGGAATCCCACTCAGACGGTAAGATATCTCCATGCGGTCAGTTCCAGAAGGTATGTGTCGAAGGGAGACGTTCCAAGTTCCATCCTGACCATTTGACCTCTTTTAGGTGAGTGCTTGCGAGCCCACGTTCCGAAGATACATCCCCCTCAAAGGCCCTCTTTACACATCACCAGTTTTCTTCAGGCGTGCCAAGGGAAATATAGGAAACCCTCGCACTGGGACTTGCTACGCGGAGAAACAGATGAGAGAGCATATAGGGAACATATGGGGAACGCAGAGTGGCGCCGCCTCGCACATGTGCTTAAAGGGAGGCCGAAAGGAAGTCACCAGTCTTGGAGGCTCCACTATGTTTCACTCAGAACTGAAGTCGACTCAGATTTCATTGGACCCTGAATTAACTATGGAAAACCAGCATCTATCAATTGTGTACCCCAGACGTACCCTAGACGTATGCTGTGGGCAAAATGCTGAATGTGGACGAAGCCCGAGAAGCCACCAACTTTAAGAGGAGTTCGGCCAATATGAAAAGGGCCCCCAAAACTCCAGTCAGAACACAGCAATCAGGTCTATAGTGCCTCCCTCACCCCCATGAGTGTCAGATTTGGGGGACTTGTAGATGCCTCGAGGGTTGGTCCTGGTACCTATTCTGACTCAGGAAGGGCCAGTTGTCTATGGAGAACAGTAGACAAAGCAGTGTTGGGTTACAACTGCGCGCAAACCACAATCAGCATGCGCAGAGCTCTGAGTTCTCTGCATGGATGGAGATGGATTCCGTCAACAGCTGGATTTGTCTTAGCTTGATCGATTCATCCGTGTTTAGTTCTCAACCTGGATGCCCCTTCGTCAAAGGGAAACAACCAAAGGCCCAAAGGCCCCGCCACCCCCCCCCCTCCCGCCCCCGCACCATCCAGCAAAGGTTCTTGGAATCTTGTTTAGGGTTCTGATCCAAGTCTGAGAACAATTCTGGTCGGTAGGTCGCTGCTGTTGGGGTTGGATCTTTAGATTCTAACTTTATGGGAAACGAGGATTTTCGCCAGCAACTGGCCAGAAGTTTTTTACTTGTCGACTGGCAACAGCCGTCCAATCTTGGCTCCGGAAAGCCATCCGGAAAATTTCCCCCTAAGCTGTTTGGCTTTTTGGATGGTTTCGGGGTTGGGTTTCCATTCAAGTTTCTCGACTTCTCGGGGATCTGAAAACGGACCGACCGCCATCCCATCAGTCGCCAGGCGCCGTCTTCGCGGATTTTCCCAAGCTGGTGCAGGAGCTCCGAAAGAAGCCCCGCTGGGCCAGCGGGGCAGCCAAAGCAATGGGACGTGCGCTGGGTTGCTTTTGGTGTGAGGGAGAGGTTCCCAGGTTTCCGGTCTTTGGTTTTTGTCGTTTGTTTCTCCGAAAATGTGGCTGTGGTGGTCAAAATTAATGGGATCCCATTTTGGGGTAGGTGAATCCACCGCCCATTCTAGAACCTATTTTAGTGGGGATTGGGCGGGATTTTGACCCATGGCCATATGGTGCCTTCCCGAAAAGGCATCCTCGGCCTCGGAGTAATCCAGGCCCATACTCAGGGTTCGCTTTCGATGGGGAAGGAATCCATGTGAGATTCCTCATTCCGGTTGGCATGGTCCGACGGAAGAATCCCATGCAAGCATCACGGATGCGCCGAAAAGTCCTGTTTAGGGGAAATGGTCTTTCAGGCCTGTTGCCAAAGAAAGGTAGAGCTGAAAAGCGAAAGAAGGCCAAAAAGGAAAAAAACTGACTTTAAAAAAAAGACAGAAGAGAACACAACAAAGAACGACCAACATGGTTGAAACCACCAGAAAATCCGACTCCGAAACCGACCGCTGGCCTTAGGCTGGGACGAGGCCACGTGTATCGCCGACCGGGACTCCCATGCGCCGGCGGTGGGCAGCGCCGTAGGCGCGCTGACCGGTCTCGCTCCTGGCGTGTTGCGTCGAGACGCACGCCGTTGTTGTATGTTCCTTTTCAGAGGTGCATGTTGCCAAGGGATGTTAGGACTTCAACTTTTTGCCAACTTAGTTGGGATTTCCGTATTAAACCACGAAAAGTTGAAAACTTGTAGCAGGGGAGCAGAAAGCAACCGAGTTTTGGCGTTCCTTCAGAGAACCAGAAGAACCAGAGCGATTTAGTGGGTGTCGTTTCCTACCTGGTCTTCTGTGGTGGCATGGCCTATAAAAACCATGTTGATCATCTTCAAAAGTCAATGGGTTTTGAGCGCTGCTCACGGGTGATTCTCAAAATAGTGGGTCGCACCTTTTTGGTTTCCTATTTTTGGTTTCCTATGCGCCATGGTTTCATGATGTTTCTGGGGGCGCGGGGGACAGTCATGGATTGTTTGGTAGGGATTCCACTTTTGCATGCTTACCTTTTTTGGACACATCCTCATGTAAACCAAGACATGGCAACTGGTTCAGGATGCTGTCCATCCACAGTAATTATTTATTAGGTGGCAATGGCTCCCCTTGCTATGGCTCTGAACGAAAACGGGACCTTTGCTGTTGATGGCAATGACAGCCATGGTAGAACGAAGAGTCAATCTGATTGGGGGGATGATCGATTGAGCCATGCTCAAAAGACCCCTGCACATGTACAAGGGATGGTCACCAACTTCTCTTTAGCGGGGAAGTTGAGACAAGCATTGTAAATAAGGGTTCCTATCAACAAATCCTATCAACAAAACCATGAGTGGCCCGCAGAAAGACGTGCGACTGTGGCACAGATGTCGACGGCTGAATATATGAGCCGTTAGAAAGGGGGACTATGAAATCAACGTTTTGAAATGGTCGGATTCTATGGCGCGGGGGTCTATGAGATAGTACAACAATTGAGCAGCCAAGGGCTAAGTTTCGAGGCAAGATGTACAAATGGAAAGCTTTGCCAAGTAGAAGTTTACACCTTGTTGGATGAAAGATAGTCATGTGCACTTACAAGCTTCTTGCTGACCTTTTGATAGTACACTGGTTCAAAAGGAGCGCCGGTGGAAGGTTCTATGCGCACTCATCACTAGTGCTCTTCAGCGGCCACATTCCCTACTGATGGTTGCGAAATCCATTTCGCACCACCGTTCAGAAATCCTGGAATGATTTGATTTCTCCTGTAAATACCAACAAACAATGGTTTCAACCATGGTTTCATTTCGTGGTGCGGTTTCGGATTTCGCAACCATCCACAGTATCATGACACCTAGCAAGTAATACCAGCAAGTAATGGTGTCCAATGGTTTCTTAGGTGGTGCGAAATGGATTTCGTCCACCCACAGTATTAATCTTTGAACTAGGGGCCGTCCGTTTCGCCCCAAAGGCACGTGAGCGGCGTAAAACCGCCACGCACATAAGTCAGCCTTACGGAAGCCTTGTGGAAGTACGAGTCAGAAGGCCTTGAAGGGCTTCCTTGCAGAATTTGCGGAAGCTCAAAACCTTGGAGGCTCCCAGCCATCCCCTTAACCTTTTAGCTTTTTAGTGTTTAGTGGTAGTTTCCATTTAACCCACTAAAAGTTAAACTTTTAGCGGGGGATCTGAGAACAGCCCAGTTTTCAACCATTTTGCGAGCCGCTTGCCCTTCACCCCGCGAAGCTTTGGAAGCTTTCCGGCAGGCGACGCTTGCCGGCACCTGGAGTCCATCCAGTGCCATGAGGTGCCCGAAGAATGTGCGGACACTCAAGACGGGAAGGTCCAGCGGCTTCTCTGTCTTGGAGTTGGTAATTCGTTGCTTTGTTGCATTTTGCCAAGGGATGTTAGGACTTTACAACTTTTTGCCCACTAATGGGTTTTCCGTATTAAAGCACCAAAAGTTAAACTCTTAGCAGGGGAGCAGAAAGCAACCGAGGTTGTTGGTAGGCTTCCTGTTGTCTTAGTGGTGTATTTTAGGCTTCCATTTTGTGTTTGCTACGCTGCAAAGGGGAATTTGCTGCCAAATGGGTTGTGAAGCTGATTTTCTTTCAAACGGAGCCGCTACAAAAAGAGCTGGTGTCTTTCTGCATTCGGCTCCGGGGGCGGGAGCATGCTTTGCGCTGGATTCTTAGTGACCCAACCATATCAAGATACAGGCCACTTACTTGCCCATCCAAAACCACAAGTGAACAGGCCATTGTCAATTTGTAGATTTGCTCGATTTTTGTCAGTCAAGGGACCGCAAGGGCATGCCTTCCCCAAAACAGCAAACACCCCTTTCAACAATTGGTTATACGTTCTGGGGGCGGTTTACGGCCGGCGGCCGCCTGACTAATCGTGGCAAGCTCGCTGGGGAAAAATAGAGCTCGGGTCCCCTGAAGGTCCCGTAGCTATGGATCCCTTATTTCCAGTTGGTGAAGGACTATGTATAGTAATCGGTTCCGAATGCTCATGTGTTAGTTGGCTGCTCATGACACAGCCTCAAAAGAGCAGACCCCAATAGACCGTCAGGCGACCCTTACGTCAGGGAGTTCGGAGACATTGTACAACCCCCTGACTTTATTGGAAAATGACCGGTTCCCTGCTGACAAGCAAACACTTGAACAGTTTGCAGGGGTCAAAGACCGACCCAGAATTGATTTTCTAAAAGTGTAGGGTTATGGAGGGCAAACTTATTTTTACAAATATCTATGTGGATAGACAGAACAGCCGGGTGGACGACAGTGGGTAGGGATGTTCCCCAACCTGCGGAGTGCTATCACCCCAAGTGGAAAACGTTGGACGGCCTAAGACACTGTTGCAACGAGATATGAACGATTGCCCCACAAAGCTATTCTGCGAAACATGGCGCTCAGCGCTCAAGCCATGAATGCAAAGGATCACTTCCGCAACCGCGGCTTTGGGTTTGGTTTTGTGCCGGGTTTCCCTACGCAAAGCCGACCCTTGCCATGTGCAGTTCACCTTTCAAGGACACCTCTGGACCTCAAACTTCCAGGTGGCCTGTCGGCAAACGACCCGCTACTAAGTGGACAGGCGCAAGGCTTCAGCCCTGGCCGACATCCACGGCGAGTTTCGCCCAGGTCGGTCGAACCTTTGGGACGTCGCAGACTGGGCCTGCGCCTTAGAGTCGAGTCGGTGAAAGGCTCCGGGAACAAAAATGCGCACCGTCGGTGGATTCTAGATTCCGCCGACGATATGTTTATTTAATATATATATATATAATATAGTCCTATTTATTTAGTCATTCATATAGTTATTTATAATGTATGTGTTCATTTTTGCTTGGTGGCATCCCCCAGCAAAAGTGGTCAACCCCAAGACTTGGGCCGCTAGGTCCAAAGCAGCGGTTCACTCAGCCCAAAGCAAATCCGCCTTGGGCTGGCTGCCAGTTTGATCCGCCCGGAGTGTGACCTCTTTCTGTCTGGGATTTGGTAAAGCGAGAGCAAACTCGCGGAGTTCCAAGGCCTGGTCAGCTTCGCGCGTCTTGCTTCGTCTTGTTGACCAAAACGATATGATTAGACTAGTGCAAATGGAACCAAACCCACCAGAGGAATCTTCCTTGAAGGGCCCCATTCTTGCGGACTAGGTTATTTTAAGCAGGAGTGTGGATATCATGACCCAATTGTTTCCCAACTAATCCCTTCCCCCTATTAATAAATACGCCCCCCCCCTATTATAAACAAATCCCCCCAAAAATATAGTATTATGATTTTTAAAAAAAATGGGGTTTTGGGGGTTGGGTTTTTTGCTTTTCCAACAATGTGAGGGTTCACATAGGATTTGGAAGAAATGGATTGAATTGTAAGGTCCGGGAGTAAGCGGTTTAATAAGGAAATTTGATGTATCATTATATTTGTTTTTCAGTTTACTGGTTGTTTGTTTGCAGCCAGGCAGGTTAATTAGCCAGCATGTACGGGAGAGAGACAGTCGCAGCTAGACTGCAGCTTTTGGGGACATGTTTTCTTTTGAGGGACACCCAATAATTCATTATCATTTTTGTTCATTGGGGGGAACAGAAATGATGACAGCCAGGCGAGAGGCCAGGCAGGATTGGCTATAAGGGGGGAACAGAGCCAGGCAGGAAGCCAGGCAGGAAGCTACGGAGCCGCGCGAATAAAAAAGAGGTCAGAGAGTCAGGGAGTCAGGGACAACCAGGGACAACCTTTTGGGGAGTGGGGAAGCCAGCTTTTGGGGAAGCAACCTTTTAGGGAATTCATCTTTTGAGGAACCCACCTTTTTAAAAGTGGGGCTGGAAGCTTGTAAAAAGTGCCCCCTAACAAGGATTCCAAGACTTTAGTATTGGTTTAGTATTGGCGCAATGGAAGATCAATTGTGCGGAGTGGAAATCTGGTCCCGGGCCCAGGATTTCCATTTTTTATTAATTGGGGTCATTCATTCATAGGGGGAGCGGATTATCTGAAAGTGGAGAGTGTCAAAATTCGAGCTCCTATTCTCATTGGGAGTAACTACCCCAAGCACATGGATACAACGCCCCTTGCGCCCCTTGTGTTGCCGGATGTTGCCCTTTGCTCGTTATTTCCCTCTTTTCTGCGGCACGGATTGCGGGGAATTGGATTCGGGATCCGCTTTTGCCTCAGGTCTTCGGGGTCTACTACGTCGAGAGGGGCGGCAAGTCGCCGCTGGAGCATTGCTACTTCAACGGCTGGAGCCCCGCGGAAAGCGGCGAATCTCATAAAACGCTGGTGCCCCTCCCCTCAGCCCTTTGGGGGGGAGAGGGTCGGGGAATGAAGCTAAGCCATAATAGATTAAAAAAAAATCCTTTGGTTCTGAAGCATCAATGAGATCGATTGAATCGATGTCAACGATATCAGCACATGTTTTATTGGTTTAAGCATATTGCTACGTCGTTGAAACGCAGTTAAACTTCCATTCGCTCTGCAGTCCGGAAGGAACTGGTCTGCGCTTGGACACGATTACAGAAGCATCTCGCCAGAGGCTGGTCGAATCAGATGTGTTGGGATTTGTTTCTTCGTGGCAGGATACTTGGAGGTGGGTTGTATGTTCTGGTGGGTTGTTTTGGAGGTGTTACTGCTTGACAGGTACAAGAGAGACTGCCCTCCCCTCAAGTGGCCTTTCTCGCCACACCAAATGAAGGGTCAATCATTCTGCAATGCGCGCTTCGTGGCATCCCTAGTTGCTGTGCCCCAGGGGGAATCCATTCCCAACTTGATTGATTTGACCCTTTCAGCTGTTAACGGCCACGTGATAGTTGTCCAACTGGAACGCCAAGCTGCTCCGAAGCGAGCTGATTTGGGCAAAGACCCCAAAGGTTAGTGAGTTTGTCCAACCAGCAAAAGTTCAGCTGTTTGCAGATTCGGTTGGACAAGTCCTGGTTTCCCAAGTTCGAGATTCCGAAAGGCTAACTGTTCTCCTCTGGAATCAATTTGGGTTTGTGGCACAATAGGGGAACCCCAGAATGCCTGGTTTACCTTTGAATGCCCTTTTAAAAGACATCAACAGGGTATTCTCGAAAACCACGCCCTCAATTCGGATAGATTGCCAACGTGAGACCTCCGCGCGCGCTCCCGCAGCACCATTTAAGCTATCAGCTTCGCTCGCTCTCAGCTTGCAAAGGAACCTTTGTCTGCGAGGGACCTCAGTCCGGGGGGGTTCTTGGCAAGTTTGGAGGAGGTTTGCTTGGGGATCTTATAATTATTTCAGAGGGTTGGATCGTTTCGGAATGCCCTTGAAGCAACCTCAAAATACTTTCCCCAGACAGGAACCGCACCCAACTGTTCTTGCCCAAGACGCCACGAGGTCATTTTTTTCGGGCTGTTTTCATGGAAAACCCAAGGAAAGCCACCCATTTGAAAAAACCCATGAGTATAAGCCATAGAGCATTGCTTAGATTCCCTGGAGTTGGTGGTGGTTCCCCAGATTACCCCAACCGAAAAGGGTTCCCCGGCTGACCCCAATGAAATTGTTGCCATTGCGTGGTTCGAAGGCTTTCCCACTGAGCACGCGGCTCTGGATCAGCTTGTCTTGATGTGCACGTCCCTTAGCAAAGATGAGTGATGTCAGCGTCCCAAGACTTTGCAACTTTAAAGAGTTTTTGAGGGAGGACCGAGGATTTGTTGGGCGAGTTTTTTTTGGAGTGATGCTTGACAAATATGGAAATCCACCAAGTGAATGCAACACGCAAGAGAATGACGAGCTCTTTTGGCCATTGCACAATTGAGGGTGTGTTTGCTTGACGGCACCCCGTTTTTGAAAGTTAAGGTGGTGTCAAAGGGGAAACAACAAAAACACTGAACATGAACACCCAATCGCTCAATCGTACATTTGGCTAAGTGTCCTTTTCGAGATATGGCAGGGGACTCCTTTGCCTTGGCACTTTGACCAACACATAAGCCCCCAACGACTGCTTTTTCCATGCCCAAACCCCCAAGTGCTGTCTTAGGACAGTCCTTGGGCTGGAACGAGCCTCGTCCCCCGGTTGGTTCTTGGGGCTTCTGTCACGTGGCACGCGCGCCGCGACCTCGTGAAGGCCGGAAGATTGCCATGTTGGCCTCCAGTCTCAGCGCATACAGCTCCGCAGCTGGAGGCTGGATTTGTTTCGCGAATCGGATGGGATGCTTTGACCTGGAGATGGGGGGTGAGGGGGAGGGAGCCATAAAAAAAAAAGTATTAAGCCGTATTAAGGCCTTATATAGGGCTTATTTGGGTATGGGTCAAAATAAAACGACCAACCGCAGGGTTTAGTCTTTGGTTCCATTTATTAGGGCAACCCATGTTTTGTACGATTTTTTGACCCACAGTCACCTGAGCGACGGTCAACTGTCAGAGCTTACAAGGTAAACTGTCAAAGAGACATTGGGGCTAGCAATTGATCATTCCAGGGGTTGATGCCCCAGTCTTTTCAACCATCGTCCTTTGCAACCGAAGCCGTTGTCCCTCGGTTGCTGAAGGTTCTCTAGAGATTCCTGAATGGACATGGAAGGTACCCCTATCATTAGAACACGAATTCACAAAGTCCGATGGATACTCCGAGTTCGCGGCTGGACCTGGGAAGATACCTGTGGGCCTTTTTGGTCGAGCTTCTTGTGGGTCAAAAGCTCAGGTTCGCCCACCTTTGGCTAAATGAGTCGGTTCGAACAAGCCACTCAGGTTTGAGATCTCCAAAAAGCGAGGGACTCATTGAGGATTTGTTTCCTTGTGAGAAGCAACCTCCTGCATAAGTTGCCATGTCGACGTTTATATGAGGATGTGTCAAAACAGGGGGACGATGTAAAAGTGGCTTTCCTTTTGGTTCCCTTCAATCCAAGATGCCCCTGCTGTAAACCACATGGGACACTTCACACTGGTTGTTTAAGATTAATACCACACAATCCATGACCCTCCCCGCTCGCCCCCAGAAACATCATGAAACCATGGCACGTAGGAAGCCAAACATGTGCCACCCACTATTTTGAGAAGCACTCGTGAGCAGCGCTCAAAGGCTAGCCAAATGATCAAAAGGTTTATTGCAACGCTTCGCGTTGCCCGCCTGGGCCACGTCCAGCAGTGGAAGCAGCCAGCACGGTTGGGCCAGGCTGGTGGGCTGGGGCCGGGGAATGGAGCAACACTCCGGGCCAGCTGGCACAGTCAAACCAGCTAGCGTCCTGTGAAGTCGGGCCTGGTCAAGGCCAGGCTCGCTTCCAGGGCTGGAAGCAGCTGGAGCATGGATTTGGGTGAGCCAGGGACCGAGTCGGCTAGAGGGGGAGCTGTGGACATGGAGACCCAGGTCTGACAGGGCGCTGGCGGATGGAATTTAAGAGGAGGGTTGCACAGCTTCCTAGATGGATGTCGATTGCTCGCATCACAGGCTTGGACTTTGAAGCTTCGTGCGGACGCGGCCTGGTTCAGTTGATCAGCCTCGAAATTTCACAACAGGTGGGTTCAAGCATCACCTGTTTGGCCCTTGCTGGCGGTTTTCGGCGTTTTGGGCAAGGCCTGCCTAGCGAGCTGTTCCCCACAATTGGGGTTCCTTGGTCTAGTTGCCGGGTACAACATGTTAGCAAACTCATCAAAGCCCAGACCTGCATGGGTTCCTGAGGAGTTGGTGCTTTCTGTGCTCAACTTGGAGTTGTGTCCCCTTATTCAACTACTCTCCTGCCACTAACATGGAACCTGACTGAGGGGCTGTGGAAGACTGAGGGGCTGTAAAAGGGACCCTCTGCCTTTTTTCTCCGACCTTTGAGGATATAGATGTTGAATTTGCTCGCTACCCTGAGAGCTGCGAGGCTGAACGTGAACCCAAAGCATTTGTTGCCATGGAGCCATATGCATCTCTAAATGACACCCCAAAGTCCTTGAATTCTTTCTGGGTTCCTGTTGAAGCGGTGTGCCAAGAACAGGCGCACACATATTCTACTTTGCTAGGCTTCACCAACTTGTTTGGCCTTTGCAAGGACGTTCTTCATGTTGGGAAGCCAAGTGTTTAGTGACAAACCCCAAAGATGCGCCCCAAACATATATAGCTTAGTCCCTGTACAATTGGCGGCTTACTACCCAAGTTTGAAGGGACCATGTGTGTCATAGGATTTGGACCGTTGTGTTTCCTTTGGTTTTCCAGAAGCAGACCAACCAACAATTCGACGCGAAACTCCCATGGCCCTGCGTAGGTCCGGCATACTCCCTTGCCCCGGCACGTAGCGAGAAGCGCGGGTACCGGAGCGAGGGGTTCTCGTATTGCCGGGGCCCCCAGGCTTGCTGAGGCAGCGAAATGGCATGTGCTTAGGTGTTTAGGTTGTTTTACTCTGTTCATGATAATCCGATAGCTTTTGTGCTACCATACCAAAGGTTGTAAAGTTGTGATTTTTTGATTGTAAGGTATGTTTGATTTTCTTTCTTTCTTTCTTGTTTTTTCGGGGGGGGGGGGGGGGGTGAAACAAGGACAACCAAAAGGAAGCCGTCTGTTTGGAGGGCATTGTGGCTGCGTCTCTTCCCGATTCCCTGTATTTCCACTGCAACAAACTACCCAAAAAGCGGAGAACCTGGCGAAAGCAAAACGACAAAAGGTGAAAGGGCAAGCGGGGTTTCCTAAATCGCTCCTTTAAGGATGGGTTGTTAGCATCACCTGTTGCTTGCCGAGTTAAAGTGTTTTTTTGATCAGGTGATTTTTCAACGAGGACATCCAAGGAATCTTGCTAAAAGCTCTCAAAGGTTGTATGCACCTATGACTAGGTCTCCCAGTAGTGCCCTTTTACACTTTTTTGGAGGAGGGTTCCCCCACTAAAATAGACTACAGGAAAAAGGGTACCCTTGTTCTAACCTCTCTACTGGAGGACCTAGATGATCAACTGGCTGCTGAATGCATCAACCTCTTTGGCCTCCAACATCAGTTTGCTCATGTCCCCCGATTTGGAGGCCCTAATGCTTGCCTTGAAGCATCTGAAAGGGGTCCCAGGCACGATTGACCCAGCCAGGCTTCATGTGGGTTCATAAGCTTTCATGTTTTGATGCTTTGAGGCTGGAGCCAGGAGGCAGTTGTCTGACATTTGTCCTGCGATGTGAGATCCTGATGTGAGAACGCCTCATGGGCTTAAATGCGGATTGTGTCTAAGATCGAAGCCGGATAGCCGGGCCTGCGACAACTGTTTGTTTTGTGGGGAAGGCAAAACGAAAGACAATGCAAAAGGTGAATTCCGCACGCTGTCCAA